TGGCAGGTCATCCCAGCTGATAAGTTGTGCTGCTTTTAATACAGGCAAATTATTCTTACCAGTGTTTTAAGAAAGGCAAATGTCTTTCTGCTACTCGGGCCGGGCTCTTCCACCTGTTTCTGCCTCTTGCAAGGGCCCCTGTGCGCAGGAGCTGGCGCCTGCTGATATCCTCCCTGTGTGCTTTCTGTCATGTTGAGAGCCAAGCATGAGCTGTGCTTGGGTGGGGAAAGAGCATCTGTGCTGGCATTTAGCAGGGCAGTGTCTGTGCTAACCCTGGTATGGCTTCAGTGTGGAGCCTTTGTGTGTCACCCAGGCTGCCCAGTTGCTCCTGGGTTCGAGGGCTTCTGGTCTCTCTTTGGCTTGGTGTGTTGAGGCTTCACTGGGATCCCTTCTGTGGCAAGGGCTGAGAGCAGGAGGCTGAGGGATGTGGGTGAGTGGCGCCCATCGTGGGGGAACTGTGCCGAGGGAGCTACCTGTGCAGGAGTCCAGCCTCATCTGGCAGTGCAGTTGGTGTAGCAGATGCAGGTGGTCTGTGCTGACCCTTACTGGTGTCTCACAGGGCACTTCGACTACCAGTACGGGTACCGGAAGTTCGAGGGCTCGGACGGCTCCCGCACCCAGAAGTACGCCAGCAACATCACTTACTACTTCGACAACATCAGCAGCGCCGAGCTCTACAGCGTGGACCAGGAGCTGCTCAAGGACTACATCAAGCGGCAGATGTAAGCACCACCTCTTCTTGTCCGAGCCCTGGGCCCTGGTGGGATGTTCACAGATGCTCTCCTAACCCCGTGGGGAGGTTTAGAGCCGAGGTGCGATGGCTGTGCCGTGCAGCTTACAGCACCAGTGTGCCCCAGGCCTGGGCTCCCTCAGCTGGCTCTCCTCAGCCTTGCAGCAGCAGAAGGGTGTGGGAGGGATTGTTTCCTCAGGGCTGTCCAGAGGAAGGTGGCTTGGAGCTGCCTCTCACTGCCGTGTTGTCCGTGCAGAGAATATTACTTCAGCGTGGACAACCTGGAGCGAGACTTCTTCCTGCGCCGCAAGATGGACTCGGATGGGTTCCTCCCCATCACCCTGATCGCCAGCTTCCACCGCGTGCAGGCGCTCACCACCGACATCAGCCTCATCATCAAGGTGAGGGCAGGGGCGCAGGAACTTCCCTTCTCCGTCTTCCCGCCCCTGTCTGAGGCCTGTTTTCTAGATGGACTGTGGGTGAGATGCAAGTGGAGCCTTCTCTTGTCCTTGACGTGCTCCTCCTGCTCCAAGGGAGGAACGGCTGGGGCTGAACCCATTCAGTGTGCTGAGTCAGGGCCCTGAGTTAACTGGGTATCACTTGGTTCCAGGCTCTGAAGGACAGCAAGGTGGTGGAAATTGTGGATGAGAAGATCAGAAGGAAAGAGCAGCCAGAAAAGTGGGCTCTGCCTGGCCCTCCTATGGCAGACTACACGCAAACAGACTTCTCACAGTTCATCAACTGCCCCGAGTTTGTGCCCCGGCAAAGCTTCCAGAAGGAGACGGGTGAGCACTGGGGGAATGTGGAGGGAGGTTGTTGATGCTGCAGCAGGACCGAAGGCGTGGGAGTCAGCAGTGTTCCCCAGGGCAGGGCTCTGCCCTTCACTTTCTGCTTGGTGGTGGGAGCTGGTGTGTGGGCTCTGACCTCAGCCCCCCGGAGTGCTGGTTCCTCCATACATGGGGAAACATGAAGGAGACGTGAGTCTGTGGCTTTTACTCTCTGGGAACTGAAGGGATTTGGGGAGGGTCAGTCCTCCTGGAAGTCTTTGGCTGTGCCTGGAAATGCTCTACTGCTGCTGGGCAGAGTAGAGGATACTTGGAAGCCAACATTTCCTTAAAGGATGGGGAGAAAACTGGGCACAGATGGAGCAGCAGGTACAGAGCTGTCAGCTGAGTGCTGAGGAAGGGTCTGCTGTCCTTCATGGGCTGTGCTCTGCCTCTCATCAGCCCATCCTGTGGGGGCTGGTGGGAGGAGAGGCCAAGAGGACCTCCGTGGTGCTGTTGTAAGAGTGAGTTTTGGCAGGAGATCTGTTCCCACTGGCTCCAGACTGTCCTGGGAAGGTTTTTGTGAGAGATCATCTGTTTTAGAACTTTGTGCGTCTGGGAAACTGTCACCTGCAGAACTCTGTGGCTGCCACCACCAGCATTGCACCCTTAACTGGAGACATTATTATCTTTTTTTCCCTTGGAACATGCAGGCAATGTGCTTGTAACCTTTGGCCACTGGATGCTTGCTAGTCCTACAAGCTGTGCCATGCTGCCAGGGAAACTCCCCCTTGGGTCAGGTGCTTTAAGTACACAACCCCCAGGCTCCCTCCCTCTAAAGCACATGGTGGCTCTTGTTGGCTCTAGAGTCTGCTCCTGGCTCCCCACGTGCTGCCAGTCCAGTCCCCACCAAAACAGAGGAGGTCAGTAACCTGAAGACGATGCCCAAGGGCCTGTCTGCAAGTCTTCCAGACCTGGATTCAGAGACCTGGATTGAAGTGAAGAAGAGACCTCGGCCCTCCCCAGCCAGGCCCAAGGTAGGTGGTGATGTAGGAGTTGTTGGAGAGAGGGTCTTGCAGTTGTCTGGGGGACTTGAATCATAAGTAAGCAGGTATCGGATCAGATAGGGTGTGTTGGTCATGGGAGTGATGTCCTGATCTCTCCTGGCCCCATCTGACCCCCTCTGGAGTTGCTCCTCAGCGGTGTAAAGAAGGTTCTCCTCAGATGGGCAGCTCCTGGCTGTAGTAGGG